CAAGGTGCCTTGTCCTCTTTTAGGATGGAGGAGGGAGGGGTGGAAGGGTGTAGGAATTTGGATTGGTATTTTTGTAAAGTAATAAAATAATAAAAAAAAGAAAGAAAAGAAAATTTCTTGGAAATTAGCAGAGACTGATTTTCTGGTTAGAATTGCAGTGATGTGGAGAGATTGTAATGTTGCAGACTCAGAGGCTAATTAGCTCATCTTGGACTAGATTTAGCTCCATGAATAGCCATTCATCTCTGTGAATGATAGATTAAAAAACAAACAAACATTAAGCCTATAGTTCACTAGCCTAGAGAAGCCAAATAACAAGGTGAACCCAAAGAAAAACATATATAGATCCTCCTGGAAAATGGGAAGCAAACAAGATTGCCCTGTAAAAGTAGGGAACATGGGGGTGGGGGTAAGAATGGGGGTAAGATTGAGGGAAGGGGAGAGAGGGAGAGAAGGAGAGGGAAGGGAGAAGGGAAAGACTGGTGAGAGCTTGGGGGAGTGGGAGGGTGGAGATGAAGAAAGGGCAGATATAGTAGCAGGGAAGAAGATACCTACAATTAGGGATCCATTTTAGGGTTGGCAAGAGACTTGGATCTAGAGGGGATCCCAGGTGTCGACGGGGATGTCCCCAGCTAGGTCCTTGGGCAGCAGAGCAGAGGGTGCCTGAACTGGCCTTGCCCCACTATCACACTGATGATTATCTCGAATATCACCATAGAATCTTCGTCCTGCGATGGATGGAGATAGAGACAGAGACCCTCATCAGAGCAACGGACTGAGCTGCCAAGGCCCAGTTGAAAGGCAGAAGGAGGGAGAAGCAAGGAAATCAGGATCCCGAGGGGTTGGTCCACCAACTGAGGCAGTGTGCCTGTTCTAATGAGAGCTCACCCAATCCAGTTGGACCGGGTCTGAATGAGCATGTGATTAAACCGGACTCTCTGATTGTGGCTGACAATGGGGGCTGACTGAGAAGCCATTGATAAAGGCACTGGAACTTGTTTTGACGGCATGTTCTGATTTTTTGGGACCCTAGTCTATATGGATGCACAGCTCCCTAGGCCTGGATGTAGCAGGGAGGGCCTTGGACTTCCCCACAGGGCAGGATTCCCTGTCCTCTCTCAAGCTGGGAGGGGGAGGGGGGAGGGTGAGTGGGGGAACAAGAGGGGATTGGGAGGAGGAAAGGAAGGGAAGGAAGTGTAAATATTTGAATGGAAAAATAAAAATAATTTAAAAAAACAAACAAATAAAAATAAACTTTTGGAATTCTCTTACCTCAGCAGAATACTAGCTTCTGACAACCCCAAAGCTAAGACCACCGCCAGCATCTGAGGCTTTCAGAAAATCTTCCCCACCTTGCTTTACCACCGCTCTGATGTACCCACCAATATATTTTAAACTTACCTGGTTTTATACTGTCTTCAGTCTGTAAAACTATACAATGTTGCAAAAACTCGTGTTGAAACATGAAATTTAGGGTAGTCTAAATCTGTTTCTGGACCACTGTCACTCAAGATTGGCTCCAGAATAAGCTGTCTCCAGATATCTGGAGCATTACCGATATATGCATGTGTTTGTAAACACACGTGTGCACATCTGCATGAGTGTATCATTTGTGTGTGTGTGAATGTGGTTTGTGCATGTGTGTGCATGTGTGTATGTATGTTTGTGTGTATATGTGTGGTATGTGCTCCAGATGCTATTTCAATGCTCATGCATGAAAGACTTAAGAATGGGATACAAGGAGGGGTTTCAGCTCTACTTAGGTTGCAGCATTTGACCAAGTTCAGAGACCTTTAGGATAGCACAGAATGGAGGTGGGCAGTTGTCTGTCACATGATTTTCTCACTCTGCTGTATTCATTCCTAAGGACTCAGTGTCTGAAACCAACCTGGATAAGAATCCCTGGTAGACACACTAAAATCTCCACCAGGATGGTGTGAGAGTTGGTAAGCAGAAGGTACCGTAAAGATTATGGGATTGAGTATATAGCTGAGGCCCATGAGGTCTTTGCCCTGGCAATTGAAGAATCTGACTTTAAGCCCTAGACCTCATATAAAACCCAGGCATGGTGTGCATACTTATATGGCCAGTGGTGGGGAAGTGGAGACAGGAATCGCACATCAGATAATTGAACTTAATCTTCAAGTCCCACATCCCAGTGAGGATTCATCTGTGGGCTAAGATAAAAGGGAGCATAAATTTGGGCAGATAGGAGGGGGGCAGATATGTGAGGAGCTGGAGGAAGGCATGAACATGATCAAAACATGTTATACAAAATGAAAATCTCAAAAAACTGATTTCAAAAAAGATGAATTGCTCCTGAGGATGGACCCTCAAGGTTGGCTTATGGCCTTCACATGCACATGGCACCCCCTTACACACATTTGCACCCACTTACACACACCTGTGTATGCATGAATAATTGCACAAACATTTTTTGAAAAACAATTCTGACAACTACTCCTAATGTTTCATTAACAAGTCAAGACGCATCACTAAAATCGGGAGAACACAAAGGACGTTTTCAATCCTAAGTGGAGGATAATGGATGGTGTACAGTTGATACATGCTTAACATTTCTTATGCCCAAGTAATTTTGAAAGCTCTTTGCTCCTTGCTGCTTATAGGAGATGAAAGAACATCCATAAAATGCAGGTCAAAAAAATCGCAGCTTGGAAAAGCAATTAAAACATCCCTCTATTGCTTTCTCCAGTCACCTCCTTAAAATTTATGCAGTGGGTCCACCTTCTCATGCCCCTAATAAAAAGAACGCAAACTCACCCATAGCTTTTTAAGTCATTTTAAGTCCCAGCCATTGTTTTGATTTGGTACCCGAGTGCCCACTCAAAGATCTTATCACAAACTAAAGGATTTTTATAGCAAGTCATCTTTATTCTTTTAAGCATAGACACTTTTTGCAAGGGCTTGTGGTGGAGAAAGGTGGGGCCTTTGTGGTTGGTTTCAGTATATCTGTCTTGGGCTTTAATTGTTCCATTTATGTCGGCTTCTTTTCACCTCTGTCCCTCTGGGGCTGGAAGGGGTGAGAGGATAGGTAAGGTAAGAGGATAGGTAAGATATTCTTTGGATGGCACCCCTGGACTTGGCAGAATCATTGGCATGCCTGTTTACTCCAGACATCCTGTTTCTAAACAGCCTCAGAAAGTGTCCCACCCAGATAGAAGCAACTGGGGGGAGATGCCTCCCTCTCTTCCTTCCTTAGCTACTAGAATTCTGGTTATTTTTTAATAATGAAATATCACCACAACACACATTATTAATTTCAATGTGCCCCCTCTGAATCCCTCTCAATTGAAAGGGTCGCACACGGCCTCACTGGCTTCTGAAAAATGGTGCTGTGTCCTTTGCTCCAAGAATCCCCAGGTCTCCAGGCAGTAGCATTCCTTGGGTTCCATCCAGAAATCCATGGTCACCCACCTCCCCTCTGTGCTTCCTTGGTTAGGGGTTGATCTCAGTGCAGGAGATACTTCATGGAGCTTTGGGGTGACACACTGAGGCCTTTCTCTGGAAACCAGACGTGACACAGAACGCTCTTTTGTAGACATTGCTGCAAGTTTTCTCTTGCCGCCGCCATCATTTTAACTTTCTTTGCAACTGTGATGCAGATGAGGCTCCCTGGACAGGCTCCCTGACATTTCCTTCTGAGTTCTACCACTGGGGATCTGGATTTGAATTTCTCATGTGCTGCCTCCAGGCACTTGCCAGAAGCCTTGGATTTAACATCCTGCTATGAATTTGCTTCAAGATATCTTGTGTGCCAAGAGGAGGTTCTCTCTCTCTCTCTCTCTCTCTCTCTCTCTCTCTCTCTCTCTCTTCCAAATGTTCTGTGTCTGTATGACTCTGTGACTCAGTAGCTGAGATGCATTCTCCAAGTCACAGAGGGAATGACTCACTCCTGTTTTGCACCGCCTCTAGAGCTCTCACTAAGGAAAGAATTCCAGAAGGGAGAAGGACGGCATTTTGTATCGCTCAGGTAAGGTGGTAGCTACACCAAAGAAAAAGCACCTGAAAAATGAAGACAAGACTTGATATCTGGTACCGAAGATGTATCACAGCACAAGGCACATTGTTATGCTACAGAAAAACATCACTTAATCTTCAAAACAGTCGTGCTCATCCCCAAGATAGCCCTGTGTCTTCAGATTTTGCTTAGCTATTTCTTCATTGAGAAAGCCTCCTTGACCATAGACCACAGTATGCCTGTGCTCTGTTCTCTCAGAGCAAATTGTAGTTGAGTATTTATCACACCAGGTAGTAATTGTCTACCCTCTCCTCTACTTCTTAATTTATTATCTAAATGAAAACAGGGCCCACGAGTGACTGCATTATCACTTATCCTAAATGCCTGGTGCAAAGCCAACAATCATAGATGCTTAATAAATATTGTGCTTCTATGTTAGTTAGGATAGGTTAGGTTATCCTGGAGCAAGAAATAACCCCCAAATCTAGAGGTCTGGCATAGGCCACATTGAGTGCTTCCTCATGCTAGGCTCCAGAGACTCACCAGGGCAGCTTTCCTTCAGGCAGTGACTCAGGCACTAGGCTGTTTAGATTTATTTCATAACTCCATTTCCAAGAGACAAAGTAGGGCTTAGTGGGGAAGAACATTGATTGCTCTTCTGTAGAATCCTGGTTTGATTCCGGGCACCCACGTGGCAGCTCACAACTATCTGTGACTCATGTGTGTTGTGCTCAGACATATATGCAGGTAAAGCACAAACCAATACACATGACCAATCAGCAAAACAAATCAATAAAAACTTTAAAAATAAAAGTTTTGTGTTAGAGGTCGTAGTTAGCGGGGAGCGGAGCGGGGCCTCAGAGGGCCTCGCTAAGGCCACAGTGGCCAGCAGTTGGGCCCCCCCGCCCCGGCGGGCTGGCGGTCCAAGGAGTGCTTGAAGGGGGCCGGGGAGGGGGAGGACCCGCGGGGGGACCCAGCCCCGCCCCCGGTCGGTCCCCCCCCCTCCCCGGTCGGTCGAAGTCATGAACTCCAACATAGAGAATCTGCCTCCGCACATCATCCGCCTAGTGCACAAGGAGGTGACAACACTGACGGCCGACCCACTTGATGGCATTAAAGTCTTCCCCAATGAGGAGGATCTCACGGACCTGCAGGTCACCATCGAGGGCCCTGAGGGCACCCCCTATGCTGGAGGTCTGTTCCGAATGAAGCTCCTACTGGGCAAGGATTTCCCTGCCTCTCCACCCAAGGGCTACTTCCTGACCAAGATCTTCCACCCAAATGTGGGGGCCAATGGTGAGATCTGTGTCAATGTGCTCAAGAGGGACTGGACGGCTGAGTTGGGCATCCGACATGTGTTGCTGACCATCAAGTGCCTGTTGATCCACCCTAACCCAGAGTCTGCACTCAACGAGGAGGCTGGCCGCCTGCTCTTGGAGAACTATGAAGAGTATGCTGTCCGGGCTCGTCTGCTCACAGAGATCCATGGGGGTGCAGGTGGCACCAGCAGTGGGAGGGCTGAGGCTACCCGGGGCGTGGCAAGTGGGGCTACAGGCTCCTCCACTGACCCTATGACCCCAGGAGTCCTGCGGGGAGCTGAGGGTCCCATGGCCAAGAAACATGCAGGCGAGCGAGATCAGAAGTTGGCACCCAAGAAAAAGTTGGATAAGAAGCGGGCACTAAGGCGACTGTAGTGGGCTCTTCTCCTTCCTTCCTTCTGTTCTATCCCCTCCCACTCTGTCTCTAAGTTATTTAAATTATGGCTGGGGTGGGGGAGGGAATGAGGGGGCACCAGAACCTGGATTTGGTTTTCTAAATAAAAATTAGAAAAGGAAAAAAAAAAGGTTTGTGTTAGAGAAAATGTAATAGTGAAAAGGTACGCACCTCTGCTTTAGCCTGGGAATCTGCAAATCACTTCTGTGGCCCATTAGCCCAGACTGCTCATGTGGACTTGTGTCATGGTGAAGGGTTTGATGGTACCATGAAGGAAGCTGATCACCCTAGTCTCAAAATCTCCATTTAATCTCTTCATGCTGAGATGTTAGTAGGCTGAACCCTGAAGTGAGTAGGCTGAAGGAGGTTGCTGCACATGGGAAACTCACAGTATCACACCAAGTTCATCCTTGTTCAGCAAAAATAAGCTCCTATCTGTTGGAGACTGTATGGTCCCTCGGATCTATTATTTATGCTCCTAGCAAGAACTTCATCAAGGATTTGAGTAACCATGTGACAGAGATAGAATTTAGACTTGGCATTTGTTCCCACGTGGAATGTTCAAACCTGTGCATGAAAAAGGTTGGGCAAACAGGAAGAGGAACATTGGACTGTGCTAAAATGGTTCCAGGAGAAATGGTGCCAAAGCCTCTATTCTCTTAATCAAATTCGACAAACCATAGCGTAGTAAGATCACGTTTTCAACATTTTGCTTCTTTCTTTTCTTATAGCCCAGACCTGGGCAATGAAGAACTAATAGAAGCCACTTTTTTTCATATTTAATTTTGGCAACTCTGTGGAGTGTTTGTAATGCTCAGCTGGGCTGAGGCACAGAGGGTTTGCAAATAGGAGAAGTCCCCGCTCTTGAGGTGCTCAGCATCTGGAGGGCAGTAGACAGTGTTTAAACAGGTCCTTTAGTGCACTGCATCACAAAGATCTGTCTGAGGGAGCAGTCTGCATAATATGAGCCTGGAATTGGAGAAGAGATTGGGGTTCAGAGGAACTGTTTAATTTTTTATTCTAGTTTGTTTTTGTTGTTTGCCTGTTTGGTTTTTTTTTCTAAAGAGAGAGAAAGAAAGGGTGTGGATGGAGATGTGAGGGGGATCTGGAAGGAAATGAAAGATGGGGATTGTGATCAGACTATATTATATAAAAAGTTTATATAATATAAAAATTTTTATTTTATATACACATTTATACACACATATATATCTACATGTACACACACACACACACACACACACACACACTTCATTCATTTCTCATCCCTGTGACAAAATACCCAAGGAAATCAACTTAAAAGAGGAGGGTTCATTTTAGCTCATAGTTTCAAAGGTTTCAGTCTGCTGATCACCAGGTTCACTGTTCTTGGGCCTGTCATGAGAAAATACATTTTAATGGGATGGCATGAAAAAAGCAAAGCTACTCACTTCGTGCAACCAGGAAGCAGGGAAGGGTGGTATAAAGAGAAATATAGTCCCCAATTGTGTGGCCCCTTCAACTTGGTCTTCCCTCATAAGCTTGATCACCTCCCAAGAGCATAGCAAATTATGAACCTCACTCTCATACTGATTCATCCATTCCTGATCCAATCACTTCCTGAAAGTCCATGAACTGGAAATCAGGCCTCTAGCATGTAGCCTCCGGTGGACACATTAGATCCAAAATCTTGCAAGGACTGTTTGAACCTGAGGATTTCTAAGCTCATTTCTAAGTGGTTCCTGAACTATCTAATGTGACAAAGAAGGTGGTCAGAGAATTAACACCACAGAAACACAGTTTGTGTCCAGAGAGCTGGCCTTTATTGTGATGCAAGAAAAGAAAACTGGGTTCTTGGTCACCTTGATCACACTTGCTCTTCTGCCACCAGGCTGTGACATCAGGCAAACAAATGCCTTTTGCTCTTCAAGTCTTTCCTTAAACTCTCAGAAACATGATGGTAGCAAGGCAGCATGTCTTTTCTTCTTGCAAGAAACGAGACTGAGTTTCACGGATGTGAACAAGGGATGCTCTGATCTGAGCATGGCAACAGCCCTGGGATGTGGCTTATCCTCACTGCCCACACTTCACACCCGCTCCGCACACCGCGAAGACTACCTCCCCACGCTTGCAGGGCTGGTTGGGCCCAAAGCAGGTGTTCCTATTCTGCTGGTCTTCTTCCAGACAGAGTGCCCTTCCACTTCTGCTCACACATTGGAGTGCAGAAATGCGGGTGTGAGTTCCTGAAAACGAGAAACATCACCTTCACCAGAGTGAAGACTCCACATGCGTTGAAAATGTGTAAAACATATTGCCTCCAATCATTTCTCCAAGCTCCGAAGCCATTTCACAAGTGCAGCGCCATAGGGGAGGCTATCAGCCTTTGCATTCTGTGCTTTTGAGGAGCTGAGAATTTTTCTTCCTTTCCAAAGCAATTAATATTCCATCGCCGAGGCATAATTTAGCAAGCCTATGGAAATGAAGTTTTTATCTGATGAAAATGAAAAGCAGTCATTTAGCCTGACTTTCATTGTTGGGGAAAGTCTCCCATGACCCACCGAGTCCTGAATCACCCCAAAGTCCGAAGTCAAAAACATCTTGTGTTATCAGTATCTCCAATTATTTCTCATTCAAATATTAAATTTGGAAGGTTGTGAGCAGAGAAGCACCCATCTAGTATTCCAATATAGAAAATCTTCATGGACTTAGGAGTCACCAGTTCATACACTGGGTAATAGATGGGTAGCAGCTGCCTTTTATTTTTCTAGCACTCTGATGCAGTTAGAAGAACTTGTTTCACTTCTATTACATTTTAGGATCTTTATCTTCAATCTCCTTGCAAACCATTTCACTACCTCTACCCTTACTACTTCCTCCTGGTCCAGTTGCCCAGCCTCCAGTCTTACATGCAAAATCGTAACTAAATGGTACAGCTAGGTAATTCATCAGAAGCCAAAACTGTTCTGGTATTCACCCGTGAGGACTTTCATATGCTCTATCATCCACAGGAGGAAGGAGGATCTGCTTTCCCAGGCTTACAAGGCCCTTTATATTTCACACTGTAGAAGTATCACCCAGCACATGTTCCCCATTGTGACTTAGATGCCGTCATCTGGCATACATGTGTTAACGCTGGCATCTCTGGCTGAGGTTGGGATCCTTTTCTAACTCAGACAGTTCTCTTAGCTGACTCCTCAGCCTAACCTTAGGTAGAACTCTAAAGACCTCTGAGAAGTTTAGCCTGAACTCTCAGTAACAAGTAAGCTCAGTTCTGTATTTTTCATGGTCCTTAACACTTCCTCCCTTTCGGCCAATCACCCTAATTTGTGGTTCTCATTAATTTATTCATATCCCTTATGGAAACATATCCCATGAGTTTAGAATCCTTATTATAAAAACACATAATCAGTGCTGGAGAGATGGCTCAGTAGTTAAGAACATTTACTTCTCTTACAGAGGTCTTAGACTCAGTACCCGATATCCATATTGGGCAGCTCACAGTTATGTGTTACTCTATTTTTAGGGGATTCAGACTCCATATTCTGGCCTCTCTCAGCATCATGGGCATGCACAAGATACACACAAACTCATGCAAATACATAAATGCACGCACACACACATATCCACACAAAGAGATACGCACACACACACCTAACCACACAAAGAGACACGCGCGCGCGCACACACACACACACACACACACACATACAAACACACACACACACACATTTTAAGACGTGTTCCAGGATAAATTTGCATTCCATATTATTTGAATGGATGGATGAACATTCTGTGGATGATAAATGCCTTATCAATGAACAGTGCAAATAAGAAAACTACAGCTTGGTGGTTTTAGTGATTTTTGCCCAACCAGGTTAAGAGCTTTTCCACACACAAATTGATCCTTCTCTGTGTTATCAACAGCACACATTCGGAGCCTTAGGCATACTTTGTGTTCAACACATGTCTCCAATGGAGAACCAGGGGAGAAAACTCCGGGTTCAGCTGTGACTGCGTAATTTTCTGTGGGCAGCAAGCCAAATATGACAGAAGGGAAGCCAGCAGTGCCAGTGACCACGGAGAGGAGGCCACGGTCTCCGTTTTTGTCCTCTCCTCTCCAGTCACCTCAGGAAGGATTGGAGGGAAGTCAAAACAGCTGGATGATCCTATTAACAACCAATAATCTAGGAATGTCGCTAAATTCATTTGAAACTGAACTAGCCATAACTCCCCAAGGGTCCATTAACCTGCGGCTGAAATTAGATTACGTAGAAATAACATTAAATAAAGAGCCACAGTGTTCAGTTAATTGAAAGGCAAACTTGTGAGTGAATGATGAGCTCATTCTCTCTGAAAGGCAGAATATTCCATCACCCTAAGACCCTTGGGGACCAGCCATGAGGGCCCAAATTGAGGTTAACTGTAGAAAAAGCACATATTCTACAGGAGTCCTCAAAGCCTCTTTATTGTTCAAAAAAAGCACTTGGAAAGAGAAAAAACTTACATGCATTGGTGTGACAGCCAGATAATGTAAGTTTAAATCTTGGATTCATGATCTGCTAACTCTGAGAGCTTAAAGAAGTTATGCATTACCTGTGAGCTTCAGACACACTGGTCTGTTGAGGGGTGCTTGTAACGTGACTCCAGACTTGTGAGGAAGAACGCCACAGGAGTGGATCATTGCAATACGAGAAAGAAGGGAAACAGAGAGGAAGAACTCTGAGGCATCAAGGAGACCCACTTCACCTGGGAAAGACAGCTAAGGGCGGTTTCTCTCTGAGATGAACTGAGAAGGAAAAGCAGGAGAAACTGGTGAGGTGTTCACATGATAGCACAGACTCTGGAGATCTTGAGGTTTTCTTTACCCCAAAATGCAAGGTAGAATTCAGTTTGCTGATCAGAACTCCCTGAAGATGGGGAGTTGTTCAACCAGACCAAGTGCTTCAGTACATTGCTTACAGGGAGCTGCAGTCTTGAACAGCAGGGGCTGCCTGGGTTTGTTCCATTAAGTGCAAAGCACACCTCCCACGTGGAAAGAGACCTGCCCATTGTTACCATCCTCAGCCAGGTCTCTTCACCCAATGTGCCTCACCGCCCTCAGCTTCTCCAAAGAAACCCTGTACAAAGATACAAGGAATAT